GAGAACCCCAAGGACTCCACAAATAGTACCTCATCTGGACAAGGTAGAAAATCTCATATGGATATAGTCATTTATGCTCCTACCTTTATCCTTCATGTTGATGTCACAAAGCATACATATAACCTAAATTCTTTGAACTTTTGCAAAATCAATCAGACCTGGGAAGATTAATTTGGATAATACGTTGCTTTGCTTTGATTAAGTTGTATCTGTCTGTTTTACATTCCGACAGGATTAGCAAAAGAAATAAAACAGATTTTGTTTAACATGTATTATAAAATTAAATGGGAGAACATTAACATCTTCTCTTGGTTAACAAGAATAGCTGTTTGGCCTACCAGCTTTTCCATATTAACAGGCCGTTAGGCCCCAATGCATTATTAAAAGCAGATCGGTGGCTTTCTGAATGTAACGTAAGAAAGTTGCCATTTCAGCAAAAGTGTCCATTGTGAAATATAACTTATACAGCTTGGTGGAAATATTTATTACGGTCCAAAGGGCCTTGAGTCTGGAAAATCTATACCGAAAATTTTAATAAGTTCTGTTTCAGTTCAGCCATCAACTTGTTCTTCTTAGTCATGTAGACAAACCACCAGACAATAATGAAGGATTTTTATGATACAGACTTTCAGAATCTGTGTCATGCTAACAACTTTAAACGTAACAGTTTCTAAAATAACAGAAAATAGGATGAAATTAGGGGGTTGGTTTTAGAAGCAGCCTGAAGTACAATTTTCCTAATCTTTTCTAACCTTTTGCTTTGTGGCAGAACCTACATAATGAGGCAGGAAAGCTCCGTCCTGTGCGATTTCCTCCCAGAGGCCGCATGTGTCAAGAGTGTGCTGTCTCTTCTGGCTTTTCAGTTTGGAAGCTGAGGGTCAATCTAACATCAAACAAATCAGTTTCCATGCTGCTTGGGAAAAGGCCCCTTCTCCTACCCAGGCATGACAAGCCACATAACCAACTTCCCCCTTTATTATGTGACAGATCTTTACTCTTGCAGAGTATACTCTACATCCTTAGTGTAGTTACTCTGAACATGCCCAGACACATTACTGACTTCCCCTTGGAGGACATATTGTCTACATGTCTGCAGTGATTATGAGGGCCTATGTTTGCGTAGTTGCAGACCTGTTGTTAAATTTGTGCACCCAGGATTTTTTTTAAAAGTACTAGCTCGTGTTTTCCTTTAGAAAAGCTCAAAATAGGGTTTGCTCAATTGTTCATTTTTTCATAACTTGTTGAATGGTTGGAGGGGTAGGTGTGTGTTTTCAGTTAAGCTTTGCAAAAATATGTGCATGTATTTGACTTTCAGGAAAGACCAAAAAAATCCAGGCTGTAGTTTTAAAAGTTCTACTATTTTTCCTGTATTTAAAACTGGTTTTAAAAACTCAACAAAAATAAAACTTAATTAGGGCTTTATTTATTTCAAAAGTGGTCAAAAGAGGTTTGGTTCAAAATCCAGGTTTTCAGTATGCCCTAGGGTTATCAAAAATCAATGCAATCAGGTGGACGATTATGTTAAACATTCACTTTAGGGCTGGCAAGCAGCCTTTCCTGATGGCATTGCATCTGGTAGAGTTTGTAACCCGAAGATGATGTCACTGATTAGGGAAACTGATACATTCCGATTGTAGGGTTGTACACACTATACCTACTGGCATGGCTCCAGTTCCTTATAGGTCAATTGGGGTTTGGAAGCAGTACTTCTTGTGGTGGCCCCCACTTTATGCCATAACTTTCCTCCAGAAGCCAGATTGGCGCTAACTCTGCTGCCCTTTTGATATGTTGCAATATGAGGTTGTTTTACTGGGCTTTTGGGAGTTGATATTCATCCCATAATATTTATCATTTTTATTTTTATTTTTTATGTTGAATTTGTATTGTGGCTTTTAAATATATTTATGTTGTAATGTTATCATTGGTAGCTCCCAGGGTTGTATGATTTTGGCAGTATGTACATGAAAAGGTAAGATGTGTCAAATCTGCAGAATTCCAGAGCTGTGATTTCTTTTTCTTGAATGTGTGAAAACATGCCCTTGTAAATTCGGATTTGGGATGACACATCAAAGTACCAGCAGAGTTAGATTTTATACTTCTTGCATGCATTATGGTGGCCAACATTTAGGGACAGCATCTGTTTTAAAGTCTCACCTTGGATATTTTGCATATTAACTTTATTTTCTTCAGAAATTATTGTGGAGAATAGGTAATAAACATATGCTGCCACATTTCAGATTGTAAATGTGATGATTAATACATTGCTTTCTTAAATGTCAGGATTCACAAGATACAAGAACAACCCCATGATTTGTGGCAGTGACTGCAAGACAGCATGTTGTATTTAATTGCTTTTAATAGAGAATGAACATCATTTAGCTAATGAAGCTGCTATGTGGGATGAAAATAAAGTTCCCTTCCTTCTCTCCTATGTATCCTTTTTCAGGAGTTTGGATGGTGGGAAGACATTTGGCACTATAGATGTCAGATTTATAAACATGGGGAAGACTGAGGATGGGGAATCAGATCAGAGCCCAACAGATGGGCAGGAACAAAAGGTAAAAACACAGGTCTGTGCACAAATTAAATTAGACTTATCAGATATTCCAGATACCTGTGTATTTCTCTAGTCGTGTCAGGTGTTAAGTTTGTATCTAAAAATAAAAATTAAGTAATTTATAGAGTAAAATATAACTCTGTATAACTTTTCAAAAATATATATCCTAACATGATATAACAAAGTTGTATCTGGTACAGAATTTTAACAAAATTAAAATAACTGATTTTAAAACAAATGAAACATAATTAGCTTAGAACAGTATGAGTTGGGCTGCTATCCTGTTTCTCCCCACTCCTACTTAACATAGAAATGGAGTTAAAGCATTTTAAAGGTTTGTTGTTGTTTTTAAGAAAAGGCCATGTTATTGATGAATATATGGTAACCTCTTTTTTTTTCTCTACTCTCATTTTGACCCACCCTAGCTTCACATATTTTAGAATACTCCACCAAATTTAGCGATATAAGGAATACAGCTGTGAAAACAAAGGAGGGCATTTTAATTCTCAGTCTTAAGAGTTGGTCTTCTAGCCTTTGCTATTTTAGGAAAGAAAGATGTATTTTTTTGATTGACACTAGGCAAAAAAGTTATGGCTAGTTACTTTTCTTGAACAATTGGCTATCATTGTTTTAACATTCATGGCTTGACACAATAAGCTCTGCATGGGTGAAAGTACAGTGGTACCTCGGGTCACGAACTTAATTCGTTCCGCGACTCTAGTTGCAACCCGAATTGGTCGCGACCTGAATCAAATTTTCTCATAAGGTTCAATGTAAATACGGTTAATCCGTTCTGACCCCTCTGAATTTGGTCGCGACCCGATTTTGGTCGCGTCCCGAATCAAATTTCCCCATAAGGTTCAGTGTAATTACGGTTAATCCGTTCTCAACCATA